AGCTTCCAATCATGTGGTGATTATTGTTTTAATGTATACACTCATACAAATAATTTCTTTGATTTTTGAGAATTTTGTTGTTTTTCTCAGAAATGGTTCCAAAAATCTTACTTTAATTTCTATTGTTTTACAATATTCGATCAATAAGTTGCCGATTTCTTGTTTTAACAGTAGTTTCTTAGTTTTTGAAGAACTTCTCAGTGAAATAATGAAAGAGAAATATATTTGCTGCAAGCATTTAAGGTCAGGGGTCAATTTAGAGCTAGGAGTCAGTTGTCATGACAACCAGAATGATGTCTGTCAGTACCAAGATAGGAAACCTAAATGATCACCAAAAAGTAATTCTGATTTATGGCCCAGATTTTAGAAGTTTTACTTTAGCTGGTATGTTAGACGAAATAAAGGAGTTAGAAGTTTGAACTGATAAGTTTCTACAAGTTCAGAAAGCTACATGGATAAGTATTTTATACCATGTTTGTTTGACATATGGTTTATTACACATTCTACAATAGTTTAATTTTGTCATCATTGACAGACGACAGGGTAGTAGTGCCCCCCCTCCAAGAAATTAGGAAATTAGAATCAATGTTTAACTGATACAAGTTGCTTAATTTGCCTTAAGCCACATGAATTTTTATTTAATCCACAGCTATTTTAGTTACATGTTGGACACAATTTCTGCAAGATGGCAAATCTCTCTTTTAAAAAGGCAAAATCAAATCATTGAAAAGGCATACATCAATATAAATGCCACTGGGACCTACTTCCTTAGATTCGGTTAGATTTGCTCCAATAATAAATAAATAATAAATTGATAAAGTCAAAACAACAGTCATGTTGCTATTATCACATTTATCACTATTATCACCTATTTATTTAATTTGTTTACAACTTGAAATCATCATATCAGAATTGTTTACTATGAATCAATTGACATGGTATTTTTCAGTTTTTGTTTAGTGAAGTCATAAAATGTTGCACAGTGTGAAATAATCTATACTTAGTCTATTTTTGCGTCTTCCTTGGAATTCTTTTAAGGAGCCAAGATTTTGAAATTGATAACAAGTCATAATTTCAAGACTTCTTTTTTTAACATTAGATGTAAGTTATTTTATATACAGGGTACAAAATGTTTATGTTGCTTGAGGTGCAATTATTGATGTGTTTTTAAGGTCAGCTCAAAATAAGTTGTTTTCAATACATTTCATAGGCAATTCCTAGAATTCATACCCGTTCCAAATAGTAATTTTAATTCTTTAAATGCAAGTTTCATCTAGATATCAGTGAAACTTGTAAAAGTGAAACCTGTAAAGTGGAACACCTCTAGAAGTGGAGCAGGGTATATTATTTTTCAGGACCATCGCCATCCCCGACTAAAGAGTGAAACCCTTGCCCACAATCATGTATTTGTATTGTACAGTAAAACCTGTCTCAGTGGAAAACATTTGTTACCTCTAGAAACTATTCCACTCATAGAAGTTCATTTAACACTAATGGCCTAGTCACATAGCCCGGCCGATGAGGTTACGATGAGCCAGCGATGCAATTTTCACCGAACTCGGCCGAACACCGGCCGGACATCCGTGGCGTTTGTTGCTGAAAACCGCATCGGTGGTAGCTCGGTGAAATTTTAACTTCGGAGTTAAATTTCACCGGGCTCTCACCGAGCTCCCTCATCATGCCATCGCAGCCCCATCGTAACCACATCGGAAAACACGTCGGCCGGTGCACAGCCGAGTATCGGCCGGTGTCCCGTGCATCTGAGACAACCAGAGGACGAGGTTTTTTAACGAACAGCGGCCGAGCTCCGAACGAGCTCCGGCCGATGTGGGACAGAACATCGGCCGGTCACTGTTCAAAGCCCGTTAACAACCAGGCCGGCGATTGCACGGTGTCCTGTTACCTGCTCGGGTACCGGCCATATTCTTTCCGATGTCCGGCCGACCTCCGGCCGGTAGTTGCTGCCACATCGGCAGAAAAAAACTACCATTTTGAGACAGACTCCGTACGGTCACCGGCCGGTGTTCGGTCGGTCACCTGAAGATGTCCGGACGGAGTCCGTTCACTTCACCGAGCTCTGCTTCCGATGAGGAGAGCTCGGTGGCACCAAAAAAATCCACCGAGATCTACCGATGCCGGACATCGGCCGGGCTATGTGACTAGGCCATAAGCTTGTATTCGCGAATGCAGCTAACGCCTGTCGACTACCAGATTAACCTCCTATGGGTAACTCATTCAAATATGAATAGTACCTGCCACTCTTCCATTCATATTTTAAATAAGTTAGTCATAGAATAGTAAGTTAATCCGGTAGCCGATATCTGTTAGTTGCATTCGCGAATACAAGCTAAGTCAGTTTGTCTTGGGACTCTGAAAAGTGTTCTACTAACAGAGGTGTTCCACTTCGAAAGGTGCTCCACTTCTAGAGGTTTTCCACTCTACAGGTCTCACTCTATTTCCTGAACCCCTCTATAGTGCATCTGAACAATTGAAGAGATCTACATTATATTATCATACAACGAAATAGATATAGCTAATGAAAAAAAAGTAAAAGGTTTACCTGAAGAAGGATATTATCACATCACAATTTTTTTTTTGATTGAGAATCTAGTCACACCTGAGGAGCTATAGATTCTATCAAGGTGATCAGATTACAAGGATATGAAGAAATATGAAACATGAAATATTACAAGAATTAACCCGATTACCTGTAATTATCTTCCGTTCAAACAACCAAGCCAATCCAACAAATCACTCATGTTCACAAAATTTCCGCATTTTTTTATCAGGAATTCTAGTCGAATTTATGTTTTTTCGTGATAGTTATATTAAGCACTGAGCAATCCTTATTTGTTTGTTTTGATTTTGCTTATTTGTTTATCGTTTTTAAGTTAATCAAGAAATGGCATTATCTTTGTCACATTTTCTTCTTGGGAGGCTACAAATGACAGATCACACCCGATGCCTCATATTCTAATTGACGAAAAATTCAATGACATTAATAAGTAAAATCAAGATTGGTTATTTGGTTGCCATGGTTACCAATGAGTTTCATGTTAATTTCTCAAATGGTATTGATACTTAGTGATAAGTCATTGTCCCAGGTGAAAAACATCAAGGTGATTTTTATATTAATCACTTACCTTGCAGATAAGATGGAAATTGCCTAGAAATTATATATACCTACACAATACACATGTTAATTTTTTTGTCTCTTTAAACACTTGAAAATAAGGCTTCTTTTAGCTATGATGATGCGAGGAATAGCAAAAGTTAAAGAAAACTGGGAGATTATTTTCCAGGGCAGATTGGAGGTAATATCAGAGAATAAGAATACCTCTCTTTTGTTAGCTAGAATATCAAAGGATATCCTTTTTATATACAATGCTTGAGTTTTTGCATTAACAGTCTCATATTTCAATATCCTTATGCAACAGCTTTTGAATTAATCGATTTATCTATCTGAGTTGAATGGAAATCTATACATCCATGAAGATGAAATGTATTTTTCAATTAATGAATATATGCTGAATTGAATCGTATCGATCCGAGTAGTTCTCTTACGGGCTTCTTTTTGTCTTCTTATTAAACTTGGTTGTAATTTGTTGATTAAACGATTTCTAGAGAATAATAGAAATTGATTGATTTGATATAAGTTAGATTCCAGGTGATTATAAAAACTATTACAAAGTGATCTAGGTTTATATTTCAATCTAAACTCGACTTATAAGTTGTCTATTTCTAATGCATCTGTGTTCTTATCGTTTTCAATATATATTATTCGATTTTATCATCATTAGCAAAGACGAACTGTTTATTTTATTTTGTGAAATTAAATGTTCTTTTTTTCATTTTCAATTTAATATCGAACGTGCTACACCTTTTTTCATTTCATACATTATTTTTTCGTGAATACTTGTCACATTTTATATTTTTGATTCAATAAAGTTACACGCTTCATTAATGATAGATTGTAGGTTCAACATTTTGTGAACAGAATGTTAAACTCTACGAATTTCGTGTGTATGTGATCGGAATGTATTTCGCCGATGCTGTTATATACTTCATCGATGATATATGAATCTCAAGAATATTTTGAAAAGATTTTCTTTTCTAATGTGACATCAATACAAATAAATAGTCAGTCAGATTTTTTTAGGCGATTTATAGATAAAAAACAACAAGTTTTAGTGACATTGAAATATTGATATTTCGCATCTTTGGATAAGGTTCAAAAGAATTTAATCACTTGAGAGTAATACTTAAAAATTTTATTTTAAATTTTATATCGCTATGATACATGTTATTTTGTAGATATTCTTATAGAAAATCTTAGGATATTATATTTTATGCAGGAGTCTTTTTTATCAAGACTTTATTGGGACAAATTCATGTAAGGTCATACATCTAGGACCCAATCACCAGTGGCATTATAGGTATAATTCTAAGTAAAATATGAGTAAGTTTTGAAAAGAATGTTTAGAGAGGAGTGCAAACATTAAATTCAGAAACTAAATATTAATTCCATAATTCTAAGTAAGATAATCTTGTAATCAAGATACCAAAGCAACTATTCATCATCAACTTTCGACATTGAAAGCTTTTTCACATGTTTATATTTTTGTCATTCAGTGACTTAATTTTAGATAAGACAACAGTTTGTCGAGTCATTATTCGATACACTTTTAAAATAGGTCTCATCCTAGCAGAAAAACTGTATTCTTATTGAACTAGAATGTCAAGTAAATTTGAAAATTTGGAGACCTTAGAAGATATTATTAGAGTGTCAAGTTCAGAATTAAGGATATGTATATCAGATTTAGGAAAAACTTTTTTGATAGGATTATCCTAACAGTTTTTGAGATTCATTTAAATTGAACAGTAACTTGTTGAAATAGAGTGATTACCCAGTTATAATAGGTATCAAATGAGATAATGATAACTTTCTATTATTACCCATAATGCAACTTAATAAGCAGACATTATTTGTGTATTTCCAGAAAAACTTAGATACTACTGCCACAGAACTTGCAGGGAGGCAAGATGACAGCGACATATCACGTAAAAAACTTGTAGAACAAAGCAGAGATTTCAAAAAGAACACCCCAGAGGTGAGTATGTTTTAATCGCACTGCATAGCCATTAGTGTTATATCAGGCTCGTAGCCAGGATTTGCCAAAGGAGGTTCAGTTTTCAAAAATTTCCAGGTGGGTTCACATTTGATAATTTTGGCCCAAATATGGCAAAAATCACTTGAGAAGTGCTCAAAATGGTGAAAAACTGCATGATTTTGAAAGAATTTTTGTCAAGGGCCCCCCCCCCTGGCTACGGGCCTGTAAATTATCATTGTCTTGTGATAGATTGGTTGCGACACATGAAATTCTGTCATCAAGATAACAAGAAAACTAATCATCTATTTAACTTGAAATTTTTCAAGAAGCAAAATCAGCTTATTGCAAAAATTTGATTTTGTTTTAGGCTTGCTTGGTAATTTGTTTACAAGTTAGCTGGGTTTGCTTTTTTTCTTGTTTGATTCTAGTACTCTCGTATTATCCTAGATCGTACCACCATTTAGATATGAAAATATAGTTTAAAATGACTAAAATATGCAAATACATGTTCAAACTAAATCAAACCAGAAAAGCGAACCTGGAACAGGTTGTCCCTGATAGATAATATATCAATTTTTGTCTGTAGTCAAGAATTGGGACCTAGACAAGATCAGCAATAACAAATGGAAAACTAAACTAGAGTTATCAGGGAAAATAAATAAATCTAGTTGAATTACAAGAAAGACTAAGTCACTTTCAGTAATCTAATTAAGAAAAATAATTGGAGCATTGACTGTCAATTTTCTTAACTTACGACTTGTAACTTTTCTCAAGAGAGAGACTAACAGCTGGGCAGCCAAACCCAGAAATCAATTGTCGCGGTGATTCGGCATTAACCTGAAAACTACGCGAAAATCGTGCTTTTCTACAGAATATAGTCCCGCCTCCAAAAATCATATAAAATGACACCTGTGCATAAATTGACTTTTAATATCGATAAACGTAATGGTTTTGGCCGATATTTCGGGAAACGTTTGGAGATATCGGGATGTAACTATATTTCACGAATAATAAGCAAAATAAGGTATGGTGGGTGAGAAAGAAGACCTCAAAGAGAAAAGTTTTGAAACTGGGTTTCGATAATTTTGAAAATTGGGGTCGTATACATGTTTTGGGCATTTTTTTCTGAGATTAGTTATTTATGTGATTTTAGTACAAAACGCACCCCCCTTAACTCGCGGACGTGATTTGAACGTTTTATTGCCCATTCTTATATATTTCTCGAGTTATCAGCCACTTAGTCAGCAGTAATTGATTTTCAGGAAAAAATGTTAATTCTCAGGGATCGATTTTGACATGGTCCCCTGAAGTTGTAAACACTCAATCTCGGATGAAACCCGTAGTTAGCCGATACAAAATAACCAGTAGATGATAAAATTGACGTGTAGTTCCCAATCCCCGCATTAAGTTTTTGTTGGGAATTGATTTCTTCACGTCGAAAAAAATATGTGATCAGAAAATCAGCTAAATGACAAAAACAATTCTGAGGAAACATTAGTTCAGAATGTTTTGGGCAAATTTTTTTCTTACAGATCTGTGGTTAAAAATCTATTGATAAATAAAAAGTAGTTTAAAATACATATGGTGTCTAAATATAAAAATACCTGGATAAGTACTTTTGTCAGGAGACTTGAATCAATTGCGGTCCAGTCATATTGTCGTGTCAAAATTACCCAAAATGGTGAAGCCCTGGCTTTTGAAGAGGGTCGTCTTCGGACTCGAAGTTTTCAGTATTTTTAGCCTTTTAGCAACTAATTCTTGAATTCAACGTATGCGTATGATCTAAATACGCATAAGTCAGTCGTATTGTGCATCAATTCGAAGTTCTTATGGTAATTTGAAGCCATCATCTGGAGCGGTTTCTACTCTTGAATCCGCCAAATTGCTGAAATGCCAAAGGACCTTCTCAGGTCACGTGACCTATTTTTTAAATTTTGCATTTCAGCCACAAAACAACAACATCGGTCATTCATAAATTGTTTGTGGATGGCTTTGAGCACCAACTTGGCATTACTGTACTTAAAATCAAGAGAGAATGTCAAACAAAACAATAATCGCTAACTGTTTTATCAATTTTTAGTTGATTCCAAGGGGTCTTTCCCTTTCGTTCGTAATTTTAAAGTATCGATGGCGCTGAAAACAAATTGAACTGGCTCAGCCTATTTGAACGGATTTTAGTAGATTCATGGATATTTAGATCAACCGATAGTGTTTACAGGATTCAGGGATTCCAGGTGATTACGATGGAGTTCACGGCTTTTAAGTAAGTTCAGTATTTCTGTTAGATAACGTAGTTTGAAAACACATAATTTGAATAATGATGGTGTAATTTTTGATTTTTGAAATTTTTTAAAGTTAGAGGCAACCTCATCCAATTTCAGTATCTTTTATTGCACATTGGATTCTAGAAATTTACTCACACATTGATGTGATAATAAATATTGTATATTTGATGTAAATAGCATCAGGGTCTTGGAGTTAAGCTCGATGTCAGCGCCTCCAAATGACCCATGTTGTTTCAAAATTAGGGACCATCTTTTGGGTCATATTGCGCATGCGCAAAATATATAGCTATTTCTTTTGTGCATTTCCAGAAAGCAGGTTCCAGAACTCCTTGATTCTGCTTCGATGTGCCTACCAGATTTAATTTGTGGATTTCACAGGGGATTTCAATGTCATCTTCCCTCTCTGAATCTGAACAGCAATGCCTCAGTCATATTTGTGAATTCCCAAGACTAGATTTGCTTGTTATGTGAGTATAGGTGTAACCTTACATGTGTTGTGCAAATTCAAGAAATTAATGCTGTACAGTAACAGTGTATATTGTTGGTTTGCGACAAAGTCAAGGTAGTTCCGTAAAATGTTTACAATGTTTCTTGACCTGAGTGGTGAGCGAACATTTACAGGGCTGCAGGGGCCTGGGAACCAACAAGGGGGGGGGGCAAGTTTCTGGTCTGAGAAAAAACTTACAACCAAGTTTTGACATTTGAGGCCCATTATGTTGAAACTTTGGCCTAAAATTAAAAAATAAGGCCTTAGAAGCCCCCATTATGACCAAAAAAGCCCACTTTCTGGGGCCTTAAGACTTTTTTGGACTAAAATTTATTTTGGCCCATTTTTTTCTGAGCCCACCCAAATGACGAGGCCCCGGCCATTACCCCCCCCCCCCCCCCCCCCAGATCCGCCAGTGATTAATTAATTATATTATGTTCACATTAAGGTCTCATGGTAGTTATCAGAAATTTACACCAAACAGGAAATGAAATAATCATGTTATTTTAAAGTTTTTTGAATGAAGTAAGATAACTGAGTTCTGCTTTGATCTTCAGTCAGTTGTAGTACTCCCATATATCATTTACATGGCCAGGATCACAATGGTTATTGTCAGAATGACCTTTACCATCAAAATAGCTTTTTCAGCCCTAATAAAAAATATATATAACTTTTTCAGGAAATGCCTTGCAAAAGTAGAATAGAGGACCAACAACAATGCCTTGACTCAACCTAGAACAGAAATTATGTTCAAATCCTCTGATGGAGAACACTAGGTAAACTGTTTGTTTTCATGTAACTAACTGAAGTTGGTATACCGTATATATCATCTAAGTTTTGATTTTAAAAAATGTATTGATAAATAAGCAAGAAATGAACTATCTATGCATGTGTGTCATGAAAATGTTTCAGAGAAAAATGCATTTTAAAATTATATTCCTCGTAGAAGCAATATTTAAAACATAATATTTGCTTCTTTTCCTAAAACAGTAAGCTAATCAACATTGGATTATTTTGAAAGTTTAAGGAGACTATACTATTGAGTATATTGAAATTTACCACATATTCAACCACTAGATATATACTTACCAAAGTCCCCAATCCCCAGCTTTCAGTGTTAATTTTGCAATTGTACAGACAGATCTAATTAATTTCGCAGTAATTAATTTAATCTGAAGTTAAAATATACCAGAAAATCCACCTGTTACCTGATTGGTTGTTGAATTTGTTGATCATGAACCTGATTGGCTGCCTGATTAAAGGCACATGTGGGCGTTTGCGTGACTCAACGGGGATTCCCATTTCCCCTCGCTAGCCGAGGAATCGATTATGCTTGATTTTGAAAATTTTGAAAAAATCTAAAGTGATCCCCATAAACTTGAATTTTCATCAGTTTTAGTCATGGGCTTTCAACAGAAGGGAAGTATTGCCTTGGGTTTTAAAAATTGGAGAAAATGCTTCTTGTACACATTCCAAGAAAAATCTTATTTTGTACTTTTCATGAATGATTTAACTCAAAAATAAAAATATGATTATCTCATCTGCATACATGTTGATAATTTAATATAAAATGGAATTCATCACAATTATGGCAATAATAAATGTGAACATTCTCCCACAAATTATATTTTTACTGGAATGTCTTCTTGAATTATTACCCACAATGCAACATTTGAAGAGATATTATTTACTAGTAATATGTAGATTTCAAGTATGATATCACATTGACTGAATTTTGAAAACTTTGAATTGTGTAAATCAAGATTATTTCTAATAACTAGTCCATTGTTATATTGTCATATTGATTACAGAAAACATGATTTTTTCCTATCAAGTTTCTTATAATATAACATTAATATTCATGTTTTTTTTTCTAATTTTTCAGATTTTTTTGTTTTGGCTGAAGATGTTCCCTGCCATAGGTGCAAAAATGACTGGCTTCAAAGGTTGCTAGATACTTATCAACAATATCAAGCTCAGATTTACAACTTCACATGAATCAATCAACAAAAATGAAGGCGTAACGTTACACCATTCACCATCACCTATTAATGGTACAGTTAAATCAACTTTGTCTGATCTGAAAAACTCAGTTCCTGATGAAACACAATGGAGATTATAAGACCAGACCATGTCCATAACAGCAGAGTATTGATAAGGTGAAAACAAAATGATACTGTGCAATGTTAAGGAGATGCCAAGAACTATATACTCAAAATGATAACAAT